AAAGAGCAAATGGCACAAATTATCACAAAAACTTTTTATTTTGTCAAAAAGTTAGCCATTTTAACTTATTAAAATATACATTTTGCAACCAAAAAGTGTGCACTTTTTATTAGTTGAGTGATCAAAAGTGTGAGTTTATATTGAGCGAGTGAAAAAAAGAGTACTTTTTGGTTAGTTAAATGACCATTTTAGCTAGAAAAAAAGTTTTGTAACTAAAGCAAGGAACTCTAACTAGTTCAATAAATATTTTTGCCATTTGCTCTTTTTTTTAATTTATGATATCAAACTTAGAAAATTAGAGCTTATATGCCAAAATATTTAAAAAAAAATGCATAAAAACAAATTTCAAGTTTTTTCAAACCTACAAGTCCAAACACTATATCATAATGCTCATTTAGGTTCGTTTACACTCTTAAATTCTAGCAATCATTGAACTTTTAGGAGCCTCACTTTGTATTTTGAAATCAACTGAGTTATCTTATAATTTCGCAATATGTGATTGATATAGAAATCAATAATGTAATCAATCTAGAATAATAGTTGCACCTAAAATAAGAATGTTATGATTTATTAATTATCAAAACTTTTTGTCTAAAGTAAAAGAAATGATGGAGGAAGGAGAAAATCCCTCATTAAGATGGAAGCATTTGGATTAAAATCTATGAGTCAGAATTCCAATGTCACCAAATGAGACTTTGATTTAGTGAAATAACTAAATTTGAATTAGAAGCTAAGAATGAATTCAAGTTTCATGCTTGTGAGTTATTGCACCTGTGGGTTAATTAATGTGCGACTGAAACATGGAAGTAAATGGGAAAAGTCCAAACTGATGTTGTATTGAACCTTAATGGTCCTTGGTTGTTGCAAAGTTTTAGCACCTAAATCAACCAGAAAACACTTCTGTGAAAGCCTACTTAACTTTTTGCTGATGGTTTGATTCATTAGTTCAGGGATTCGAGAGTTTATTTAATGTTTTAAGACTAGGATGGTACTAGAAGTTGGCAAAAGTAGACTTGGAGTCAATAAGTCCACATCTCAATTTTGGCATTCACATGAAAGGTAAGCACCAAGGAGAAAGAACGGAAAATAAGCAACTAGAAAACTACTAAAAACTAAAAACTCAAATTTTTTTTTTTTTGACATTTACCAACAAGATTGAAAGAAAATGAACAAATAGAAAATAAAACGAAAAACAACTGACAACTAAAACCCAAAACTAAAAACTCAAAACTACAAACTAAAACTACTAAGATTTAAAAACACTAAAAACTACTAAAATGAAAAGCTGAAAACCGAAAACTACTAAAAACGGTAGATCCCCCCCCACACCTAAAGGACACAGTGTCCTCAATGTGTCAAATAAAAAGCAAAGTGAGGGCGAAATCAACTGAACTTCCCTGAAACTGGATCAAATTGGGGGATGAGGTGTGATCGTGGGTGGAAAACCCGAGTGCCGCATGAACGCTTCCAAATTCTGTGCCAAGGCAGCCACATTGTTGTCAATGTTGACCATCCAGACCTCCAAATTCGCAACCTGCGTCCGTAGTTGGCGCCAGTCTCCAACTTCCGGCGACGGAGGGGGGTGAGCGGAAGTCGAGGGGCTAGGATCGCCGCCAACTGAGGCTGGCTGGGCAGAAGGTCGTCGAGGTGGGGCGCGGGGTGGTCCCGGGGGAACCAGACGGTAGCGGCCCTCAACGAGCTCCAGAATACCCATCCTCTCCAAGCATTCAGCGTTTAGAGGTTCCATGTCGCAGGCCAAGTGGAGGTTATGATCCTGTAGGTTCAGAACATCTAATTGGACCGCCAAGTGCGTGATATACGACCCAAGGATCAAGGGTCTGTTCTTCTTCGCCATAACGGACTTGAATTGGGCTGCCAACCAGCATCCCAAATTGACCTTGAAACCCTTCTTCATGCACCAAAGAAAGAAGAGCTCCGGCCGAGAGATAATACCGGAGCTGTCTTTTCTACCTGAGTAGCTGTACGCCAATAGTCTCTGAACATAACGAGCACTTGGATCCTCAAGATAAGAGCTCCTAGACCGAGAGGGGTCATAACGCTTCGTGTCGGCAGACATATCCTCCCACACCTCATGGTAAGCGGAAAGAAAGGGCTCCACATAATCGCCGGCACTCTCGGCATATTCTCGAGTCTCAGAGTACTCCCGAGTGACGAACCCAAAAGCCAGATTAAACTGGGTAATAGAAAAATCGAACTCGTGACCCATGAGGCGGAAATGGATGACATTGGGAGTCTCAACCGTATACCTTGCAGGTAAATTGAACTCAAAAGTGGAGTAAAACTCCCTAGTCAACTCGACGAAGGCGGGCTGGGAGATAGCGAGATAAGGGCGCCAACCAATGGCGGTGTACATGCGCTCGACCTCCTCCTGGATGCCCAGAAAAGCCATAGTCCTGTAGTCCGCGCACTTGGACGGAATGATACGCCGCTCACATGCGTGAGCGTAGCACCGCTTATCGGCGGCTCTAGTGAACTCCAAATGCCCTCCCAAGTGAGTGGCGGAAACCACGTGGGCACCTCTACCCCTACCTAACCGGGTTCGGACACCAGGAGCAGTAGGTTGATTGATAGGGGTATTGACTGGAATGGAGGGTTGGGGTGAGGATTGAGAGCGAGTGGCTCGGGACCGAGTGGATGATTTAGGTCTCACCATGATTTGGAGCAATCAACTAATTCAACAAAAGCCCCAACAAATATAATAACTCGCCAATGCCCACACAAAATGAGGAAATGCCAACAATTAAAGGACCCGGCGAATGCAGTACACTAGGTAACAGTGATCTGCAGCTCACTGTTTAAAAAAAACTTAATAAACTGGATTCACCCAAAACTTGAACAATTTCCCCAAGCAACTGCTAGATCCAGCAATATCAGTTTCAGAATTCCCACAAGGCAACACAGTCACAAGGCCACGACAGTCAACCAAACACACAACCCCATAGAGGTTTCAAATTATAGGAAGAAGAATCCAATAACAGCACCTAAAAACTCAATAAATGGCTCCAGTTGGCCAGTTTAAGTGAGCAAGTCAAGCAATTCAAAACAGCAACCAGGATGATCCCAACAATCGATTAAAACTAATAGTGAAGCAACTCCCACGGCTGAGCCAAAGTAATAACAACCCTAAATCTCAGTCAAAAGCAAACTCAGTCCAACAAGAATATCCACAAATGTCCCCAGAAATTCCACCCAAAAGTAATAAAATTTTCCAAATTGCACAAAGTAGATAAACTGGCACAAATGCCACCCAATTCAACAAATGCAGGGAACTCCTCCAAATAATGCGAATAAATTTAAGCAGATAATGTAGCCACGGAGTTTTCCAATCCAGTCAAGCAATTGAGTCCAAGAAATAGTGCCGGAAATAATCATGTATAAGTGTTCTAGGGGTGAATACCTCCACCTGTTAGGGAAGAGGGAGAGCGCAGCATCAGAGGGAGGACGTGCGGCTGGCGGCGGGTGAGCTGGAGTTGAGTTGGCGGCGGACAAGCTGAAGAAGAAGAGGAGAGCTCGCGGCAGGTGCGGCGCTGCGGTGGGGAGAGGCGGATACGCGGAGGAGCTGGAAGTGAGGCGGGCCGCCGCTGTGCGAGGGGACCAGACAGCGGCGGGTGGGGAGCTGTCTGTTGCGTGCGATTGAGAAGCTGGGTTGCGCGCGCCGCTGTGCGAGGGGACCAGACAGCGGCGGGTGGGGAGCTGTCTGTTGCGTGCGATTGAGAAGCTGGGTTGCGCGCGAGCTAGTGGCGCGCGGCAGTGGCTGTTGAAACAGATCAGGCGGTGATGGTCGGCGAGCTGGATGCGGGCGGCGTCCGTGTGTGGCAGTAAGTGGCTTCGGCTGTGGCGCGCGCAGGGAGCAGGGGGGCAGCGGTCGCGCGAGGAAGAGCTGGAATTGGAGGCGGCGTGCGCAGAGGGAAGCAGAGGAGAAGAAAGAAAGAAAAGAGAAAGAAAGAAGGAGAAAGAAAGAAAGAACAGAAAAGAAAAGAAAGGAAAAAGGATTTTTTTTTTCTTTTTGTTTCTTCTTTTTTTTTTAGATTAGAAATTGCTACGGCTAAGAGAGAAAAAAATTTTCTTTTTTTTTTTTTAAATCGCAAGGGCATCCAGAAAAGAGAAAGAAAATAAGCAACTAGAAATAAAACTAAAAACTACTCAAAACTAAAAATGCTAACTACTAAAAACTAAACATACTAGCACCCCGTTAGACCCCCCCACACCTAAAGGACACATTGTCCTCAATGTGACAAAAGTGAAGCAAAAGTGAGAGGGTACGCAACCACACTTCCCTGAAATCGGGGCATAGCGGAGGGCGAGGTGGAAACGGAGGTGCAAAGCCTGTATGAAGCAGAAACTGCGCCAAATGCTGTGCCATACCGGCGACGTTGGCATCGACGTTGACCATGCGAGCCTCCAAAGCCTGAACCTGGAAAACTAAGAAGAGAGGAAGAAATGAGCTAAAATCGCGTTGCTAAAGCTTTTATTGGGACACAGAAAACGCGATTGAAAACGTGCCTTCAACCCGCGTTTTATAAGTCGCGTTTCCTTCACAAATCTTCCAGGAATGAAAACGCGATTGCAACTCGCGTTTTAAACTCGCGTTTCCCAAGTCGCGTTTCCTGCACGAATCTTGCAGGAATGAAAACGCGATTGAAAACGCGCCTCTAACTCGCGTTTTCTACTCGCGTTTCCTAAGGCACGTTTCCTTTCCCGCGAGCGTGACGCGGGCGCGCCATGAGAGCAAGAGAGCTCCCAGAAGTTTGTGATGTTTCTGATCGTGAGCTCCCTGCACATCACCACGCGGGCACGTCATGACTGAAGGGCACCTTTAAATCAGCAAAAACGAAAACTGAAACTCAAAATCAGTTGAATTCAAGGAGAACACCTCTAAACTACCACACGAAATTGAACAAACAATTAAAAGGAACAATTGGTTTGCCTCCCAAAAGCGCCTTTCTTTAACGTCTTTGGCTAGACGATGTCCACTTTGCTTAAACTAAGCAAGTAGGGTCCTCCAAGTGCATCATCTCCACCCGTTCAATTGGAACCCCTTCATAATACGGCTTGAGACGATGACCATTCACTACAAATTTCTTCTCAGTCTTCAAACTTTGGATCTCTACTGCACCATAATGAAAGACATTAGTCACAACAAAAGGACCAATCCAACGAGAACGTAACTTACCCGGAAATAACTTCAATTTGGAGTGGTACAGGAGAACTTTTTGCCCACACTCGAATGTCCTCCTCGAGATCTGTTGGTCATGAAAAATCTTATTTTTCTCCTTATAAATTACCGCATTCTCATAGGCCTCATTGCGAATCTCCTCCAACTCCCGTAAATCCAATTTCCGTCGGGCACCGGCCTCTTCTAGGTTCATGTTGCATTGCTTTATCGCCTAAAAAACCTTGTGCTCGAACTCCATTGGAAGATGGCAAGGCTTACCAAATACTAGCCTATAGGGAGACATCCCTATAGGCGTCTTGTAAGCGGTCCTGTATGCCCACAAAGCATCTTCCAACCTTGAACTCCAATCTTTCCTATCGGGGCGCACCATTTTCTCCAGAATGGACTTAATCTCCCGGTTTGACACCTCCGCTTGACCATTGGTCTGAGGGTGGTATGACGTCGAGACCCTGTGGAGTACACCATACTTGCGAAACAACGCGGCTATGATTTTGTTGCAGAAGTGCGTCCCCCTATCACTAACAATGGCTTTTGGCATTCCAAATCGTACAAAAATATTAGACCTAATAAAATTCGCAACTACCTTCGAGTCATTAGTCCGAGTGGCCTTAGCCTCCACCCATTTGGACACATAATCAACTGCCAGCAAAATATACAGAAAACCAAATGAAGCAGGAAAAGGCCCCATGAAATCTATACCCCAGACATCAAAAATTTCTACAAAAATCATCGGGACTTGGGGCATATGATCCCTACGGGTTATATTACCTACCCTTTGACAGCGATCACATGACTTACAAAACACATAGGCATCCTTAAACAATGAAAGCCAATAAAATCCATTTTCTAAAATCTTATGAGCAGTCCTCTTGGGTCCAAAATGACCTCCACAGGCAAAAGTATGACAAAAAGCTAGAATCGATTGAAATTCCATTTCACTTACACATCTCCTCATTACCTGATCTGCACACCTCTTCCACAGGTACGGGTCATCCCAGATAAAATATTTGGCATCGCTCTTCAATTTATCCCTCTTCGATTTTGGCCAACCTGCAGGAAAATTACCAGTTACCAAATAATTGACCAGGTCAGCATACCAAGGCAATTGAGAATGTAAGGAGAATAAATGCTCTTCAGGGAATGCATCCCTCAATGGCTCATTGTCCTCCTCAACTGGTATGCGACTCAAATAGTCTGCTACTAGATTTTCTGAGCCTTTTTTGTCCCTTATCTCAAGGTCAAATTCCTGTAGTAGCAATATCCACCTGATGAGTCTCGGTTTGGCATCCTTCTTGGTCATTAGGTATCTTAACGCTGCATGATCAGAAAATACAATTACTTTAGCTCCTAACAAATATGACCTGAATTTTTCTAAAGCAAAAATAACCGCCAGAAGCTCCTTCTCAGTGGTGGAATAATTCAATTGGGCCCCATTCAAAGCCCGGGATGCATAATAGATGACATGAGCCGCCTTTCCTACTCTTTGCCCCAGTACTGCCCCTACAGCCTGATCACTGGCATCACACATGATTTCAAATGGTAAACTCCAGTCAGGGGGCTGGATGATTGGGGGTGAAGTCAGCAATTCCTTCAACTTGTCGAAGGCTCTCTCACACTTGTCATCAAACTCGAAGGCTACATCCTTTTGCAAGAGTTGGAACAACGGGGCCCCAATTTTTGAAAAGTCCTTGATGAACCTTCGATAAAAACCTGCATGTCCAAGAAAAGAACGCACCTCCCGCACATTCACAGGGTAAAGCAATGCAGAAATAACGTCTACTTTAGCCTTGTCAACCTCAATGCCCTTAGACGATACAATATGATCCAGGACTATCCCGTGCTCAACCATAAAATGACATTTTTCCCAATTAAGCACGAGATTAGTCTCTATACACCTTATCAGGATCAATTTCAGGTTATCTAGACACGTATCAAAACTATCACCATACACACTGAAATCATCCATGAAAACTTCTATTATTTTCTCAACATATTCAGAAAAGATGCTTACCATACATCTTTGGAAAGTCGCAGGTGCATTGCACAGCCCAAATGGCATTCGTCTATAGGCAAAGGTCCCGAACGGGCACGTGAAGGTCGTCTTCTCTTGGTTCTCTGGAGCAATTGCTATCTGAAAGTATCCTGAAAATCCATCCAAAAAACAATAGTAAGCCCTACAGGCTAAACGTTCAACCATTTGGTCAATGAAAGGGAGAGGAAAATGGTCCTTTTTTGTGACAGCGTTCAGCCTACGGTAGTCTATACACTGTCTCCATCCAGTGGGTTTGCGCACTGGCACGGGCTCACCCGTTTGGTTAGCTTCTACCGTTACTCCTGCCTTCTTTGGGACTACCTGGACCGGACTCACCCAAGGGCTATCAGATATTGCAAAGATGATCCCCACATCTAGCAATTTTAAAATCTCTTTCTTTACAACTTCCATCATGAGGGGATTGAGCCTCCTTTGAGCCTGCCTAACAGGTTTGGCATCCTCTTCTAACCTAATCCGGTGCATACAGATGGCCGGGCTGATCCCCTTAATGTCTGCGATTGTCCAGCCTATCGCCTCTTTATGCTCCTGGAGGACCCGGATCAATTTCTCCTCCTGGGTTTTTGACAGTGCCGATGAGATAATCACTGGGAGTGTCTCATTGTCACCCAGATACGCATACTTCAGGTGCTCGGGCAGGGGCTTCAACTCCAGTACAGGTGCCTGCACCACAGATGGCAACACCCTCTGGTGAGGTTCGGGGGTAAAAATAGGTGAGACTTCATACCTTTTCGTGGTGGTCTGCAATGAGTGTAATGCACCTATTGTGCATTTTAGATCTTCGCTCCACTCCACCTCAGGAGTTGTCTCCAACTCGAGGTGCTTGGTTAAAGCCACCTCCAACTCATCCCTGCCATCAGTTTCAAACACTTCCTGCACTACAGGATCAATAGCACTCACAGAGAAAACTGAGCTAAAGTTGGAGTTTGAGGGATATTTCATAGTATCAAAAATATTGAAATGCACAATTTCCCCATCAAACTCCATGGACAAGGTACCCTTATTAACATCAATTTTTGTTTGTGCTGTGCTCATAAAGGGTCTACCTAATAACAACGGTGAGGGATCAGGGGAGTGATCATCATCCATATCAAGTACATAAAAATCAGCTGGAAACACCAAATCATTAACCTTTACCAACACATCTTCAACCAACCCATCAGGATATGCATTAGTTCGGTCAGCTAATTGAATAATTATTCCAGTTTCTTTTAATGGACCTAGTTTCAAAGAAGCATAGATAGATTTAGGCATGACATTAATTGATGCTCCCAGATCCAACATGGCCCTTCTGATCACAGTATTACCTATCCTACAGGGGATAGTAAACATACCTGGGTCCCCGCACTTAGGTGGGAGTTTTCTCTACAGGACCGCAGACACATTTTCCCCAACAATAATCCTTTCATCCCCCTTCAATCGCCTTCGGTTGACACACAAGTCCCTTAGGAACTTGACATATTTTGGTACTTGTTTGATGGCGTCTAAGAGGGGGATATTGATCTCAACCTTGCGAAAAACCTCCAAAATCTCCTTTTCCTTATCCTGCTTCTTCGATTTTTCCAACCTGTTAGGAAAAGGGGGCGGGTTAGTTTTAGCTGTAATTATTGGGTCAGGAAGTACCTTCGAGTCTGCACCATTGCTGACCTCCCTCTCAAGCTCAGCCTCGATCTTTTCCTCATCCTTGTCCTTAGGGATCACAGGTTCAGACCCCTGAATTTCCTTTCCGCTCCTCAGGGTCATGGCGCTCACATTCTTCGGGTTCAACTCAGGTTGAGATGGCAGCTTCCCTTGGTTTTGGGAATCCAAACGGTTGATTGTTGTGGCCATTTGACTCATCTGATTCCTTATGTCCTGCATTTCGGAGTCTGTCTTTTGCTGATTTTGCATAATGACTGCCTCCGTCCTCTGCTGATTTTGCGTAATGGTTGTCATCATTTGTTTCATCATCTCCTTCCAAGATGGACCAGAACTTGGGGGCGGAGGTGGTCGGGCTTGATATTGCTGCTGGTACCCTGGTGGCTTATTTGGCACAAAGTTAGACTGCCTGTTCGGTGTAAAGTTGGGTTGCCTATTCCCTCCATAACTGAGGTTGGGATGATCTCTCCACCCGGGGTTGTAGGTGCTTGAGTAAGGGTCGTACTGCTTCCTTGGCGCGGGCGCGTGGTCAGCCACGTTCACCTATTCTGCAGTTTCTTCCTGAATCATTGGGCACATGTCTGCAGAATGACCCATACCAGTGCAAATTCCGCACACCCTGGCTTGTGATGCATTTCTCACAGCCTGTTGTCTAACAAACGCGGTCAACTCAGCTAGCTGCTGCTGCATAGAGGGTGTCTCTACCTCATTCACCCTGCGTATTGGACAATCCTCTCTCGTACCGAATTGTTGTGAATTCTCTGCCATCCTCTCAATCAATTCCCGTGCTTCTTGAGGGGTTTTGTTCACCAGTGCACCTCCACTTGCAGCATCAATTATGCTCCTGTCGCCGAAAAGGAGTCCCTCATAAAAATACTGAATGAGCAACTGCTCACTTATCTGGTGCTGGGGACACTTGTGCAACAAGAAGTTGAACCGTTCCCAATACTCATAGAGCGACTCCCCTGGACGCTGCTTGATCCCACAAATTTCTTTTCTTAGACTTGAGGCCCTGGACGCAGGAAAGTACTTATCCAAAAAAATTTTCTTCAATTGGTCCCACGTGGTGATGCTACCTGGTGACAGGTAGTACAGCCAGTCCTTCGCAGAGTCTTTCAAGGAGAAGGGAAATGCCTTCATTTTTATCTGCTCTTCTGTAATGCCCGAGGGCTTCATACTGTTGCACACGACATCGAACTCCTGCAGATGCTTATACGGCTCCTCACCTGGTAAACCATGAAAAGAGGGTAAAAGAGAAATCAGACCAGATTTTAACTCAAATGAAGTGTTTTCACTCAAACTCGGGAAAGTAATGCACAAAGGCTGCTGATTTAAATTAGGGGCAGCCAACTCCCTTAATGTTCGTGCATTAGCCATGGGAATTTCCTCTTGCTCCGAGTAACTCGAAGTGTCACCAAATGAATCTGTTGGTTCAACTCCTGACTCAGGTCTCTGAGATGTAGCACTGGAGTGCTCCTCTCTGAGCTGTCTGGTTTCCTTTCTCGTTCTACGCGCGATCTTCTCTATTTCAGGGTCAAAAATCAAATCACCTGTACGAGAGGACCGAGGCATACACTAGAAAAATACCAGAAAATTAGAACAAAAATGAATTTAAAAAGAAACAAATAATAACGCCAGTCCCCGGCAATGGCGCCAAAAATTGACAGGTCGTCAGCCTGTGCAATAATAAAACCTGCTCAAACTAAAAGTAATTTCAGTAGATAGCGGTGAACAGGGTCGAATCCACAGGGACTGGGAATAATTGTTTCTTTTCAAGTTCACAATGACAAGGGGGTGTTTTCACTGGAATGGAACTAAAAACAATTAAACGATTTAACTAAAAATGAATAAATAACTAGCACAAATATAACAGGAATTTAATCAGGAATAAATAAATTCTAGCCAAGGATGCAACTACTCAGGCACAGTCCATGTATCCGATCATTGATGTAAGAGAGGTTCACTTAATTTATTAATAGACTAGTTATAGCCATCGAGGAACTCTAATGACCAATTTTTCCTTAATTTATAGGTGACCAAGGTACGACCATTAGTCACCCCTAACCAGAAAAGTACTCCTAGGTACGACCGTAGAAATTAATTTTCCAATTGTATTAATAACCAGAAAAACCTAGCCCTAATCAATAACACGCTACGAGGGTTATTTAAATTAGATTGCACGCTCCCCTAATGTGTAAACACACCAGTTGCCACTAATATTAATCAATCAAACAATTACGAATTTAATTGACTAAATTGGCACGAGATTAATATATCACATTGAACATCGGGCCCTTGACATCCAATTAATAAAATAATCCCATGAAAATTAAATCAGACAACATGCAAATATTAATAGATAGAGGAACACGTGAAAACTAATTAGATCTCACAGATTTTCGGGACTGCGCCGTCGAGTTGACCCTTGACTAGATGGAAGACTTAGCCACTCCGCATAATTATTAAATCACCACACGGATTAATAGATTGCAAAGGCATTGCGTTTTCTATTAAGAAGCAAGGAATAAAAGGTGTTTTTCCCGTTGGGGAATATCGTCGAACACCTGGCGTGTGTCAGAGGCCAGTCAGGAGAAAGAAAAACTAAAACTAAACTAAAAGACCAAAAACTAGAGATGTCTTCTTTCCCTACGTTATCCCTATTTAAGAAACAAAAGAAAGATAGACTAAAGCTATCTAGGTGGTCCCCACACATGTGGACAAAGCCTCCAAAGTACTTCTTGTTCCAAGTCTCTCTTCCGTAGCTTTCTTTGAAGAGCCCAAATGACTTATAGCTTCGTGGTCCCCACCAATCCAAGGGCCCAAGGATTGAACCCCTTAGAAGTCTCCATATTCTTCATAAAATCCCTCCTTTTTGGTAGTTTTCTGTTTCATTCCTGAAATTAAGTCCAGACACCAAATATGAGTAGATATCAGCAATTAACACAATATTTATCAGGGATAAAAGGGGAAATTAATAATAAAATTACTAACAAATTATACCCTATCAGTGACTGCAGTAGGATTCTGATTTTGCTGAATCATGGCAGTTAAAACCTGCTCTGCGACAGCTAACTGTCCTTCCTTACATGGTGCATCAATCAGAATATTAAAAGTAATAACATCAGGAACAATATTATAAGCCTTCATCTCAGTAAAGAGATTTTCAACGTCCTTCCATTTACTTAAATTGCACAGACCCTGGACCAAACAATTGTAAGTGATGACATCGGGGGCAACTCCTTTCTCAATCATCTCGTGTTACAGGGAGAGAGCTTGATCCATCATTTTATCCTTGCACAACCCGCCGATAAGAGTATTGTAAGCAGCTGTATGAGGCCTGCACCTTCCTCCTTTTTCCATGAATCTAAGGACTTGAATGGCCATGCTAGTGTTCCCAGCCTTAGAAAGCCCATCTATAACAGTCCCATACGTAATTTCATTAGGTATGCATAGCTTTTCATATATTATTTTCTTGAACAATCCTTGTGCCTCATGAATTTTGTGTTCCCGAAAGAGTCCTTTGAGCAGAGTATTAAAGGTGGCCGTATCGGGCACAATACCTCGCTTGAAGAAGCCACCCAATATAGAAAACCCAAAATCCACTCTGCCCAAGAAGCAGTAACAATTAATCACAGCATTTAGCATGTACTCATCAAGCGGAATGCATCCTAACTCAGCCATATCCCTGTAAAGAGAAATAACCACCAAATATTGCTTCATCTTAACAATACGACCCAGCAATAGAGTGAAATGAACAACACTAGGAAGAGGTTTCATCCGTACCATCTGCTTGTAAAAGCCTAGAGCTTCATCAAGATTGCTGGTACTGTCAATATCACTCCTTAATCGCCGAGACCCAGAACGCACAATCTCAGGGTGACAATTTCTACTTTTACTGCGAGTACTATAGGCATGAGAAGCAGCAGAATGAAAAGCTGATTGAAGGAATGAGTTTCTTGGAGAAAGAAATGAAAGAGTAGTACAAGTAGCAGTAGGAGCAGTACCTCTTGCCCCTGATTTGTGGCGGAGATGAGCATCATAGACGACTGAGAAAGCCTTTTTCTTCATCTCCTTCGTATTCTACTCTTCTTCTTCGTCGGGCTCCAGCTGCAACCGGTGATGAGAACTTGAGAAGTGAGGAAAGAAGGCGAAGGCTTTTTCCGTCGTTTACACACTCCTGTCTGCGGTTCACTTGTGAATAATTCATTCATTATTTTCTTGCTTTTCTTTTGGTCTTTTGTTTTTATATTTATTTTTATTTTTTTGTTGGGAGAAAGATATTAGTTGGCTTTTTTTCATCTTGCATTATATTATTCTGCCATTCTAAGTAGCTAGAATAAATTCAAAACTGTTTTTTACAATTACTTGCTTATGGTTGTGGTAATTTATCAATTTAATTCAGTAATTATAAAAGTTAAAATTATATCCACCCTAATAAAGTGTATTTCCAGTTTTCTCAAATCCTTGATGAATTTTCTCTACATTTAATTGTAATGGTGAAATGAAGAAAGATCTAGATTTCTTTTTTTTTTTTTTTGCCATTTTGAGTTTCAATATTTAGACAAAACAATTATGAAGAATTTGCAAACGAGTGTGTATCATGAGAGCACGTTGAAAAAAGGAGAAAAAAGAGTAAAAGTAAAGTTGAATATTTGTTTTTAAATGTATTAACTTGGCAAGGATAAAGTAACAAACAAAAAATACATTAGATAAATATTTTGTTGAAATGTAATGGAATAATCTCTAAGAGTAACAATAAAGATAAAATTTATAAATTTCAAATGTATCCCATTACCATCCCTATATATTATTCTCACGTCCTAAATAGCCAGAATAAATATAGAAATAATATCCTAACCACATTATTATCAAAGTGAACAAAATAGAGTAAAAACTACATTGACAATTGCGTGCTTATGGCTGTGGAAATTTGTCAATTTAAGTCACTAATTATAAAAGTTATGATATTAGATCCTCCCTCATCAGTAAATTTTATTGGGAGAAAAAATACTTGAATGATCCAAGAGTTAGCATTGCATGATGATGGACTGATGGTGTCCAAAGAGACCATGACTAGTTTTAGGGGCAAAAGGCAAGAAAGAATTGAACACATTCAGTGGATTCAAGTACAATAACATATATATATATATATCAGATTGACAACTTTGGGAGAAAATCACAAAGGAAAACCTGAATGCTCTCAGAATTTTTTAGCTTGGAAATGGTCTCAGGTCCAGTTGATTATATATATATATATATATATATATAAATCCGTATGCATGTACAGAAACTACAATAATCATGTACAGAAACTATAATAATCGGTGACAGCATCAAGTAATTATCCTTTGACATTTGAGTTCAACTCCAATCTTTGCATTAGCAATAATTCCTCCCATGATGCCTGTAATTAAGAGGCAAGTTTAATCAACCATAAGCAGAATATAAAAATGGGAAGAGGTATTCATAGAACCAACAGCAGAATAACAAAGAAAAAGACCCCTTAACACAAGTAGTACTAAACTAATGATACAAACTTCTGCTTGGACCTGTGATTAATTAATAGACACATTTTATTTGTCATTTGCATGCACTTAAAGTATGCACCCATATAAATATCTCAGCTCAGTCACCCTATATGAATCACTATGAAGGATGCTATCCAGAACTTTAAGCAGCTGGATACCTAAAAGGTCTCTCTTAAATAACACAGAAAAGAGCATCAGAATGCAGACAATGGTATTACAGCAAGTTCTAACACACTAGTAAATTTTGCATTTAGATCATTGTCCAAACTGGCCAACTGCCGACTCCAAAATGTTTGTTTCCATAACTTCAGTACTATGTTCAGAGAACAAGGATGAGTATTCAAATAAAAAGGGACAAACATCAATAGAAGGGTGCTTGTAAGGTCATTGGTACAACACAGTACTTTTATGAAGCTTGGATAACTTAAAATGTGAGTATGCATACACTAGAGGACTCGTAAAACTTGCTGAAATGGGGGAGGCATGAAGACTTTCAAAGGTCAGCTTGCTTGAACAAATACCATTCCATGATTACACCTTTCCAATATACTAATATCCCATCTTGGAAAGCAAAGGCTACAGATATACTGCTAAAATGAATGATTGCCCCAAAAGATCGTTACAATGCTAGTTTCCTTGCAAGCCAGTTGTTGAGGAATCCAACAGCAACTCAGACTGGTATAAATCATCATCCACTTCCTATCGGATATCATGGGCCACTGAAACTTTAATCCAATGCCAAACATCCCCAAAAGCAAAGTTGATAAATCAGAGGCTATATGATGATCCAACCCTCCGCTTAATTGGCTCTAAGAAACAAACAGATGAAAAGGAAAAGAGGGAGAAAAGTTTAGGAAGGAATTACACCAGGCATTTAAATCTTGGCGTGGTTGCATCACTTTTAACGCAACTCGAGCAAATCCCACTGATATAAGGGTGGGAGAATTAAACATTGGAATGCATGAGTTGTTGACAATTTCCCTTCAATACAACCAAACATAGAATGGACTACAGAAACAGACAACCATATGAAATGAGATATACAGAAAACCCATTTTCCCATCAGTGGTTAAGATCCATTTTGTGATGCTAAACAAGGATCTGTAACAGAAGTACTCAAACTGCACAAGCAAATATCATAACTGGTTATGTGCAATCAGAAGAAACCAAATATTTACACTCTCATAGAGTTTGTGCAATGGCTCCAAACTTGCTTCCAGATTTTGGAAAGTTTGAGACCTCTCCTCAATTTCTGAAATATCTACTGCCTCCTCCACAAACCATTTGCCCTAAATCAATAGAAAAATCCAAAAATCCTTGAAAGTACAAGTCAATAGAAAATTTTTTTGTTCTATTAAGCTTTGAATTCTAATATAAAGACATGAAAGAAGTCAAGATAATTTTAAGGGAAAAAATCGCTTTTCTCTAGATGCTTGATGAATAAAAAATTATGCTCATCTTAGTGTATGTTTAGACTCTTAAATTCTGTTGATAATAAATGAATTTTTAGGAGCCTCAAAGTTTGCATTTTGATGTCTGGCACTGTCAAGCCTCCCACATTTGCATAATCCATCAAGGAAGATGGCATACTTGGGTATCTGATGATCTAATCCATCAACTTCCATCTTGTGCAAAAGCTGAAGTGCTTACACAACATGGGAGTTCTTGCATAAGCCATCCAATGTGTGAGCTTTTGAATAAACCATCCAACTCTGTCCTCCAGTCAAAAGAGTACGGATACATGCAAGGGACTGACTTATCATTTTTCCTGCCTGATCCACATTTTTAATCTAATAGTAACATGATTTGCTGTGTTTTACATCGATATCTCTGCAATATCTAATTCTTGCAAGGCTACAATGAACTAACGTCTGCTAAGTGTTTCAGTAATTCAGAACTTTCATGTGGTTAATAAGTGTGTGACTGAAACTTGGAAGTTAATGGCCTTAATAGAAGAATGATCTTTGAACCTTAGTCGTCCTAGTCTCTTGCAAACTTTAGGCACCAAAATCAACCAAAAAACACTTTGTAACCTGCTAAAATTTACAGAATGCGATTTTCTCACAACGACAGGAGGATAAAACTTTTTGGTGTTAATGCTAATCACACTTTCCCTGATCTTTCCATCCGTGAATTTAGGGACTTGCGAGCGGATTTCATGTCCAAGGCTATGGGAGGGATGTATATGGGAAGAATTGGAATATGCACTCAGGCAGAGAAGACTCAAAAAAAGGGCACTCTAGTTTAGTTGGAGAAAGTGAATTCCACAGTATGACGACTTTCATCTGCAACTCCTGTTTTGTTGTCACTTAATTAGATTTTTCTGCAACTGCCATGCCAACAATGTCGGAATATGATGATAAATGAAGCTGCAACTTAGTAACCCCAAATGCTAATTACATGGACAAGCAATCATATATAAAGTATTCATATTTACGAAGGATTCGAACAGACAACATGAGCATCAAGAAAGTTTAAAATTAGGAATAGAATTTTGAGAAAGTGACGCGAGAGGAATGATAAAAGAGTACAAACCATGACTAGCATTTAAAAAAGGCAGGCAGCCACTCTTTTCATCTGATAGTAATAAGAGAGCTTCAACACACCGTCCCTATCACTCTGCAGGTATTAAATCTTCAAATCTCTAGAATGTGCTCAAAGAGTGCTCCTCCAAGGACTGTTGATAAACTTTTTGAAAACCAAAAGGACAGATACTGACAATAC